TATATATATAGAGAGAGAGAGAGAGAGAGAGAGGAATATTCTTATTCACATAATGTGATACATGTAAATAATATGTCTCAGACCAGATAAGTTGAATTAAAATGTATCAAGAAATAGAAAAGCACAACATTATTATCTGGTTATCATTTCACATTATTTACACTTTTATAAACAAGATTGTTCAAAATTGTACTTCTTGAGTAACACAAAAAATTTAAACACTTCAAGAGAAAGCTGAAATTTTTTACATATAATTTTTTATACAATTTTTTGCATATTTTTACATATTACATATATTACCTGATTTTAAAATATGGTTACTATCTCATTGTATTGTTTTAGAATTATCAGATACTCAAAAGGAAATACAAGAGCTAGCGCGGAAGTTTACAAAAGAAGAGATTATTCCAGTAGCTGCAGAGTACGATCGAACTGGAAAATATCCATGGGACATTATTAAAAAGGCGTGGAGTATTGGTCTCCTGAATAAACATATTCCACAACATTGTGGTATGCTTAATTTATCAAAATTATATTATATACACATATTTTACTATAAACTATTATAATAATATAATATTGCTAAAAAATAATATTATTAATGCAAAAATAAGATTGATAATAATTACAATCTATTCTAGGTGGTATGGAAGCTAGTATTTTTGATTCATGCTTGATTACGGAAGAATTGGCTTATGGTTGTACAGGAGTAGTAACTGCAATAGAAGCCACAAGTCTTGGAGTAAGTTTATCAACAGTATTCACTTTTAGATCATATAACATTCTAATTCTTTCAGCAAATTAAAAATTAATTTTTCTTTAATTTTATTAATTTCCAATTCTTCTAAAACTATATATTTTAATTTATTTAATAGTATTTATTTAGTAGTAATCGTACATATGTATGTATATGTATCTTTTTATTCAGCAAACTCCAGTTATCATAGCTGGAACGAAAGAACAGCAAAAGAAATATCTTGGAAGACTTTTAGAAGAGCCACATGTTGCGGTAAATCTGAAATTAAATTTATGAAAGTTAAATTAAAGTTAATGTTGCAATGTTAAATTGAATAATAAAATTTATAGGCATATTGCGTTACTGAACCTGGTGCAGGATCTGATGTAGCAGGTATTAAGACCAAAGCTGAGAAGAAAGGAAAAGAGTGGATAATTAATGGCACCAAGATGTGGATCACAAATGGTGGTGTTGCAAACTGGTACTGAAACAATGTGCTTTATTATTTAATATTAACTTCTAAAGAGAATATATTTCATTATATATAATATTAACTTCTAAAGGATATATAGAGGAATATTCTTATTCACATGTAAATAATATGTCTCAGACCAGATAAGTTGAATTAAATGTATCAAGAAATAGAAAAGCACAATATTATTAT